AACTTACTATTTAGCATCAATAAATCCCGTTTTCGACGGGCTTTCATCTGGTATAAAATTCATTACTTACCCTATTCGCAATTATAGCGTTACCCCCCTGGAAAAACATTTTTACGCACCCTGTACATTCACAGGTCTTATCATTAATTAGTCAACGTTCGTTCCGTTCGAATATAAAAAAGCGGCAATTATAAATATGGTTCAGCGAGCATTATCGATCTGCTCTAATTACTCTCTGTTCGCTACTGAAATTGAAAATATTCGACAGACTGCTAAACGAAATATCTATCCTTCATCATTTGTGAACATACGTAGTGGTATTCGTCTGACTAAATGACTTGAAAAGGGAGTACATGAGAAAGTCCACGTCGCTGCGACTTTTCGGTTCACGCAGAAAACTACTTCTCTCCATTTCTGTCTGTTTGTCTGTATGTTATTCGTAACTGTATAGGTGACTATAAATGGGATGAGTATCTACATGGAGGACTCTATGATTGATTGGCTGATTGACAGGCCGTCTGTCTGACTGTACGTATGGGATTAGTACCTGTATGGGTGACTCTAGGTTTGATTGATTAACTGACTGACGGTCTGTATGGGTTGAGCATCTGTATCTATACAAATTTCTAGAGGAACCTCTGCAAAAGTGGGGAAATAATATCTAGTGACTCACCCTCACATGCTTCAGTCAGTCAATCAGTCAAGCATAGAGTCATCCATACAAATACCCATCCCATACAGACAGACATACCGGCTTGTCCAGCTAACGGTCTCCTTTTTTCGCTCTTTTCCAAAGAACTATGGCAATAAAGTTAGGAAATAATCTAAAATTGCAGGTTGCAGGTGCGTAGAAGATTTCCATAGTAGTTTCTTTTTATAACCGGTGTGTACATCTGTTCAGTCCGAGTGAAAACAAAGAATGAAAAAAGTCTGTATTCTATCCATCAACATCGACAACTAATCATTGCAATTTCAACGATAATCCATTATGCACAATGGAATCATTAAACGGTGAAATAAAACAATGTTTTCAACATAACCAGGAAGGTATGACAGAATTCGCTAAAGAAATTTTATATAAAAATAATAGCAGTGGTGATGTAAAGTTATGGCATCCAGATAAAGGTTATAAAAAGTTACCATTTCCAGAAAACTTTAATATGATCGTGATATCAACAAATACAATGCGCGGTTGTGAAGATGGTCAAATATCATGTCATGACAGTATACATAAAAAATGTCCAATTTATGTCTGTCATTCATTAGCAAACACAACAACATTTACAGTTAGAATGCAAAGAAAAAAATCGCCTCCCTTTCGTTTCTCAGATAAACCAATTCAAATGACTGTTGTTTGTCACTATGACACACGAGACTGGGTTGATGATCATCCGGCATTTCTCTCGACAGGTAAAAAACCAGGTGATGTTATCTGTCATTTTATGCCGGATAAACATTTTGTTATATGTAAAAAGTGATTACCTACAACAACTATTCCTTTCGATTTTGAAATCTGTAACAGTACAGAAATGGATCCTTTAATCAATAAATAAGAATCAGTATCAAAACAAATAGCAAACTTCCTTTTCGCAGTAAAATCATCACTAAATTGACATTATTTTGTCCGGTAAATCGAGAAAATATAGAAAGACAGATACTTATGAAAGACGCATTCGGCTCCAGTTGCGCATGATCGGATAAATGCTGTGTGAAAAAGAGTACTTTTTATTCAAGTTTACCGTGATTAGCGCCGACTTTTTACGGACCGGTGACGCTCTCTTGCTGGGTCCGGAAGTAAACTTCGAAATGTTTACATTAATTTCTCTACATCAGCTATTCGAATAGTTATTGTCCTTCAGTCGTTACAACTGAAACATGTTCAAACGTTAAACGTTTCGAGACTTGAAATATTTCGTCTTGTAGGCCTCATCTTTTACTGATCTTCATGGTCAACATACAAGACTGAGCGAGTTGCTTATGGCGACTTGACAAACTGAGTATTTTGTAGCGCGTTTATTTATTTAATGGAAAAGAAAGCATTCCCACTTGTTGCATTCTCCAGAAAAGAAAGAAAGCAGACTGTCCAACGATCTTGTCTAATATTGCTTCAAACATTCAAATCATCCACCAGCTCTCGTGTTGCATGTGGTTGTCTACCGTAAAATAATATATTGTTTAAATCTTTTTTATTATTTCGGGTCCCCTCCTTTACCGTTTATTATTAATAAAGTCATTTTCTTTGTTCCTCATTTTCATTACCACCTGTCCACTTATTGTATTACTCAACAGTTACATCGAGAACTAGTTATTATTATTGTGTGCTTTACCATTTAGGCATTTTTTCTTCCCAGTCAAATGGGCGTTCATAGTTACATATGTTCTATCTTTCATGGTTTTCTGTCCTATTTATCTGTCTTCGTTTGTGTCAGACATTACATGTTAAAGCAAAAGTACTATTAACCTTTCGTTCGCGGACCACTGACTTCTAATGTTAAACTCTTCCTGCTCCCAAGGAAAGACGAGAAGGCGCAATGTACGCACCTGTCTTGTTAGAATAATGCCACCTGATAGTGAATATATTTTAGAAAATGATAATAAAAAACACAAGGAAAAGAGGAGTACCCAGGTCGGAGCAAATGAGACATGTATGGCTCATTTATGATATGAAGGGGAAATGATCATATTATGATCCTAAAATGATATCATATTTGAGTCATCTTAAGATGATTTCATAAAATGAGATAAAAATGGTGTATATATGATATAATTTGTAAAAATGGTCTAAATATGATCCTATTATGATCATCTAAAAATGATCTATTTATGTATCATTTTTATATCATATCTCTAGGATCGTAGATGTGACATTTATGTGTCATTTTTACATCATTTTTAACTTCTGATCTAAAATGGTCATTTTCTTACAATTATATTTGTCACATTTTATGATTATAATTAGATCATATCATTCATGTGTATTAGATTAGTCATTTATGGGACATTATGACACCAACGGACGTAGCAGTTTTTATGGAATTATGCGCATTTTATCTTCTACCACTTTCCACAAACACTGTACAGAGTTGAACCTAGAGACTAAAAGACAGTAAACTTAATTTCTGATATTGTTTACTCCGAAGCCGACCCCCGAAAATCCTCTCTTCAGGGTGAAAACCTTTTTTTAAACTTTATTTTCCGTTTTTCGCCATGAAGGAAGCGTTTTCCAAGGTGGGACTAGAGTAAAAAAATGTCAAAAATTAACTTTACTATCTATTAGTTTCTAGGCTCAACTCTCTACAGTGCTTGTGGAAAAAATAGAGGCTAATTAATCAAAATTACTAGTTTTTAGAAAAGTTCAAAGTGAAAATTAAAAAACAGAAGGAACAAAAACATGTATATGTGTAGCCGTGTGATGTAGTGGATAGCATCGTAGACTTCTGATATACAGGTTCAGGGTTCGAATCTCTGCACGAGCTGTTTCGTATTTTTTCTTCTTTGCATTTCTTATCTCATAAATAGTCTTAAAATGAGCTAAAAATGATCTAAATAGGATCGTGATAGGATCATATTTTGATGACCATAATAAGACGATATTTATCCCATAAAAAAAATGACATAATTATCACTACATTATGATACAATAAATGAGATAAATATGGGAGATATATGATTTAAGAATGAGCCATATATGGCACATAAATGAGTCAATTATGGCTCATTTTTTATCTCATTTTTCACGGCCTGGGTATAAAACGATGAAGAAGAGATCAAGAATACAATCTGAGGTACAATAATAATCACGACTACCTTCTGACCAGTGTTTTATATAGGTTTCGTTTTCGAGTGGGCGGCTGAAATTTTCGGAGGAGCTGTTGCCTAAAAGAATTTTTGCTAAAACGAAACCAGCTGTTTATTTTCGGGTGGGCCGCCGCTCACCCACTAGATAGATCACTGCTTCTGATTACTATTAACTTCTCCTCTGAAGAAAAAAATGACCGTACGCTCGAATATAGATTATATCGAAAACAAATTATAGAAAGAGACGACAAGTAAAAGTCAAACAAAGAAAAACGGAGGCCCAGAATAAGATAAAAGATAACCATAAAAAAGCACGTGAATAAAACTATGGATAATAACATGTGGTGGATTAGTACGCTAAGTGTATAACTCCAGACTTAACATACTAACCTCTAATCAACAAATGTTAAGACACGAAGTATGCTTTCAGCGACACTGCTCACCTTAAGCAACATTAATATTACAAGAAAATTCTCACACATTGAAGCGCTAAAGTTTTGATCAGATAAGCAACGCTAGCAAGCATTTATTGAAAATAATTCTCAAAAATTCCGAGTGGTGGGAAGTATGCTTCCCAATGTTTCTCACTGGAATTTAAAGGGTTAAAGATCTAAAGTGTTACCTTTCAATAGCTTGTGTATTAATTAATTAGGAATCTGTGCAAGGTTGCATGGATGACACGGGTGTACGATGGACATTGAAAAATGCAGTATACCAAGTTTCTTTACTCCAAAAAAACGTTTTGACCCGATAACTAGGATTTTTCAAATTTTTCGTTTATGGCCTTTGCTCAAAATCTATATCCATGCGATATATTTGAGGTTCTATGATAGTTCGGCACTTCACAAAAGACTAAATTCATTCATTTTATTTACACCAATTCTCAACAATAGAAGTATCTTCAGTACATGTAATACTCAATGTCTATGTGTATATTTGAGCAGCAAGTCGTCATAGGTTACTCATGCCGAGGACACCGATGTTGATCATTTTGGCATCATGCTTTTTATTATTGGAACAATGCCAAATCAAATGACACTTCCTAGACACTTCTAGAAAGCTGTTCAGCCTATGTATAATTGCGTAAGGGTAAGTGTTGTATTCATGGAAGGTTCCGCAGTCTTCCCGAGCCTATATAGTCATCAAAGTTTCTTTAGAACTTTCTACAATTTGCTATAAACTACTTGACGCTTGGATATATATAGACATTACATATTATATATATAGAATACTACTAAAGTCAAGTTGATGTACGAGGCGTAAAAAGCAATAGCCCTGCTGAAAATAGCGATCTAGTAATCGAAGACCTCGACGAAAATTCAATAAATGAATGGAGTTCGAAAGTTGATAACTCAAATTTTTCTACTTCTTTCGATTATTTTGATGGAAGTGCACTAGGAAACAACGAAAAAATCCCAGCGAGTTCATTATCCATTTTACTATCCTCACCGTCAGTAAACTCAATATTGTCACTCAATTCTTCCATTTTCTGACTATTGTTTTTCGAAATTTTGATATGAAAAGTCGGCAGAGTTTTCTTTTCGGTAAATTACTGTATGCCAATTATGGACAATCTGGCATACATAGCTATATTGAATTTATAACTGACAAAATTTATTTCGTTTTTCAAACCCAAAATTATGATGTTTTTCTACTTACTGGAGATTTGCTGAAAAAGAGAGGTACGGAACCCGAAAAACGCCCTATCAAAAGCTGACGTTGAGTTTTAAGATATTTTTCAAATGACCTTTTGAAATCTATCTTACATTTTTCTTGCGATGTCGATAAGTTTCATGTTTTGAGTTATCTTCTTAAGCAAACATTTTTCTTCGAAATATGAGGTTCTGCAGCACTGCATGAACTTTTGGTCAAAGTTTATAAGAGATTTTCGAAACGACGTAAAATATGTAGCATGCTGTACGCAGAAAAGAACTTTTTGTGTTAAAGATGTTTACAGTTACAAAGACTCCTCGTTCCACGAGGCAATTAGAATGGGCCGATTAGTTTAATTCTAGCAATGATCCATAGCAGCAATGTAATAGAACGCGATGTTCGAGTTAGGTCTTAATCATCGGCGGAACGTCGTCAGAGCAATTAGGCGTAGTTCGGCTTGTCCGCGTAACGCTAACTTAATTTCGATATTTTGAGTAGTAATCTATTATTAACTTTCGACGCTGATTCTGATGCACCACTTTTTTTCAGAAAACCATGTGCCTAGGGATTTACAGTCGTCAAGGAGTGACAAAAAGTTAATTTTTCCTACACTTCTCAGTCCGATAGCTAAGTATTGTTCTCGACTCTCAGACTTATGTATTAATATAGGAAAGGCTTAGATAACAATTTTCATTAGCACAAAATTGACTTTTTATACGCAGAACAGAATTGGTCCAAATTCTTTTTCTGAAGAGCTTATTATATGAATCGATGGGCAGCAAAGTATCTCTTGATTCAAATCACTTTTCGCATTTTGGCGCGAACAGTAGCGCATTTTAAGTGGCGCCACTATTCGCGCCAAAATGCGAAAAGTGATTTGAATCAAGAGATACTTTGCTGCCCATCGATTCATATAATAAGCTCTTCAGAAAAAAAATTTGGACCAATTCTGT